TATTTCTTGCCTTAAATATATAAACTTGAGTTTACTTATTATAAACAGAACATTACATCATGGGCGCTTGAAGATACGAATTTTATCTTCTCGTGTTCAATTGATATCTCACCCTTACGCTTGGCGCACGCGTGAAATCCAAAAAAAAGAACAAATTTGCAATTTGCAATAAACAAAGTGAAATAATTAAGAAATATAAAACGGCGCGCGTGTCTCTGTCCTCTGATATAAACACGGTGGGAGTTCGAAAAACACGAGAGAAGCAAGCTTAGGGACACGAGCGTTTTTTTTCAGTGATATAAGTAAAGGAGGGGAGATATCAAAGAAAAACGGAAAATTACGCCTAAACTCATAACTAAGACCACATCATAAGGTAAGACAAATGTTTTTTACTTATTTTTTCTTTCAAAAATTTCGTATTTACATGCATTATAYATATTGCTATAATCTGCTAGTTAAATGCTTAGCTTGGGCTGCATGTGACGCTTTAAAAGCAACAAGTTTTCTCCTATGATCGAGAAACAAAAGGATTTTGACATACAACGATGAGCTTTGTTCACCAATCCAAAGACTACATTAAATCACAAAAGTCTTTGGTGCCGACCTCGACTCAAACTGATTTGAGTTTATAAGACTTACGAGAGAAAGAAGACGAAGCTGTGATATCTACATCGTCAAGTAATTGTCAATTGGAATTATAACCCATACAGTTGCTAAAATTTCCGGGTTTTGGAAAGAAGAAACGGATGTTGAGAGTAAAGGACGGACCAAGTTTCGTGCCTTGAAGAACACAATAGAAAGTTTGCTATTGGAGGTATAAATGAAGAAAGACCCAGTCAAACTATAAACCTGGACTTGTATAGACAGCAGTGTTTATAGATCTTCATGTGCAATTAAGCTGAAGAAAGGAACATTGCAAATATAAAAGTAAATTAAAAAATGAGAAAATATCTTCAATGGACGCGAATGATTTTGAATATAATATCGTTAGTTACGTGAACTTTTAAAAAGTGCCTGAGAGATTATAGTGTTTTACGGTTAAACTTGATTTTGTCCTGTAAAGTTACATGTTTAGAAAAGACATGATAAACTAGAACAATAGATATTAGCATTATATCACTGACATAAGGGGTGAATTAAACTACTTCAAAATTGATATCCTTAAACTAAATATATCGTTTTTCATGATTGAGTTTTGCGTTTCGAATTAAATGACCCGAATTCACTGGAAAAAATCGCGCGCTTTAAAGGTTGTAAATTTGATGTAAATATGATTAAGTGTCCAAAATAATGTAAATTTGATGTAAATGATTACCATTAAATTTACAGAATTTTGGACACTTACATCATATTTACAACCTTTACAGCACGCGATTTTTTCCAGTGATTACAGTAAAAGACGTTTCATCTAGAGTTTCACCAGCTGTTTATTTCGTATTTCTAAAGCATTTTCACATTAAATACTGTAACTGCGATCTCCTTTGATCTTTATTTATTTTATCTTTTCCATTATTGAAATCCGGTTGCTGAAAAATAAAAAAATAATTGCAGTAATGTATCTGTTTATTCATTCATTTATTTATTTATTCATTAATCCCGATCCATTTATTCTTTCATCTATGCGTTTATTAATCCATTCATCGTCATTCATGCCCATTTATCCATCATTTGTTCATTCAATGTATTCATTCATTCATTCCTTTTTTCTAATAGTCTGGTGTCATTCATATGAGATGGTAGTGACGTCACATGTATTTTGGCGAAGTGCATCATGGTACTGACACAGTAAAAAATGGCAGATGTCAACTATACAGAGCACAAAGGTTCTTGCGAAATCAACTAAAGCCTGTCGTTAAAAAACAGACATCAAAAACCTGAACGAACAGCAACATGTCTCAGTTTATGTCCGCCAATCACTGGAAAAATCGCGCGCTTTAAATGTTGTAAATTTGATGTAAATATGTGGTAAGTGTCCAAAATTATGTAAATTTGATGGGATCAGCTACTTCCTCATACAATTAAATTTGATGTAAATAATTTCCATTAAATTTACAGAATTTTGGACACTTACATCATATTGACATCAAATTTACAACCTTTAAAGCGCGCGTTTTTTTCCAGTGAATACCATGGTGCACATCGCCAGGAAAGGACTATATTTCATCAGATTTATTTTCACGCTTACCGGCGCACCTCCATACATTTATCCATAGTATGATCCTGAACGAGACCTTGATTTTGATCTTGATTTTGATTTGGAACGATACTTCGATCTTGACTTTGATCGAGACTTCGATCTTGACTTTGATCGAGACTTCGATCTTGACTTCGATCGAGACTTCGAGCCTAAAAATAATAGATTATGATGATGAGGTATGCTTGCTGCGCACGTTCCGGTCATAGGCGCTATGTTGCATGAACATATTAAGATTTCACCTTTGGGTTTGTCGACACAGTAAGGTCTAGTGCAGTAGCATTTTGTTCCTTTAACAAGAATTTTCCTGTTTTTCCTGATTTGTTTTCGACCACATCTTACAAAGACAAGAGGGCAGAGAGGCACACAGGAAACCAGGCCACTAGAGGCACAGTTACATCGTGCTTTACAGCCATGAATGAATTTACCAACGCTATGCCTCTTGTATTTGTACAAACAACCTGACAATAAGAAAGTAGAAGTAAGTAACTAAAGATTATTTCACGAAAAACTAGAACTTTTGGTATCTTGATTCATTCCTTGTATGAGTCATGGAAGTCGCTATGTTGCCGTTATTTGTTATTTGTCACATTTTTATTTATTTTAATAAATCGGTTTATTGTCGTTGTAGTGTCGGTTTATTGTCGTTGTAGTGTCGGTTCATTTTCGTTGTAGTTTCGGATCATTGTCGGTTCATTGTCGTTGTAGTGTCGGTTTATTGTCGTTGAAGTGTCGGTTTATTGTCGTTGTATTGTCGGTTTATTATCGTTGTATCGTCGGTTTATTGTCGTTGTAGTGTCGGTTCATTGTCGTTGTAGTGTCGTTTTATTGTCG